TCGGAATACCCCGGTCCGCCCACCAACAGAGCCCCACGTTGCAGTCATTGATGAAAAACACTCTCCAATTCATCACCGTCCTCCTGAATCTCCTTTCCTCTTGGTTCCAGCCTAGGAATCACTAGTGATGCTTTCGACGGCATCTCAATTATCGTTTTCATCATATCCTTAAAGTTTTCAAAGCGGTTCTCGATGGCTGAGAGTTTTCCGTCAACCCCGAAATATTTTTCTTCTACTCCGGCCTTGAGTTGTTCCATATCGCCTTCCAACATATCCATCTTCTCGCTGCCATTAATTGGATCTACGCTCCAATGGTAAAGACAACTTATTCTTCCGCCCAAGAAAGCACTTTGATACCAATTTGTTAGGAAAGACTTGCAAAATCGAAAGAACTTGGCTAAAATTTGGAATTGCAACAAGATGAAAGTAAAAATTGAGAGTAATTTGGTGGAAAAATACTAGAGAACTTGATAATTGACGAATGATGGAAGAAAACAAACAAGATAAAATGGATCTTCAATTCGAGAGTAAGATCTGACTTTCCCAATCCCTAGCTGGTGACTAGATCCCAAGAAAACCTAAGAGAGAACCAATTCATCAAAACAAAACATAACCCTAACCCTAGGGAAAAAATCTACTTAAAGCAAAACACAATAACTTAATCCCTAAACAGGCCTTTACTTCGAATTTTCACTCCCAAGCCCATCCTTAATTAGTGCTTAATTTACTGTTGGGCCCCACTAACGAGTTCCACCTCCTACTGGGCGGAACCTTTGTTCCACTTGAAGTAAACGTGAGCCGGTCCAGGGCGGACCAGTTTAACATATTATTTGGTATTATTATCGTATAACAATTATATTATCAATATGTACAAAAAGAATTGACAATTTTTCATCAATATAAGTTTTTATTAAGAGTTTATGGTCTCATTTACTTTGTATGTTGCTTCATTCATGGCGTTTGTAAATTTGGCAAAGCATACACTATGGACTATCTAAGACCACATAGGGGTGTAAACGAGTCGAGTCGAGTTTTGGCCCTTATCGAGCTCGGCTCGTTAGATAGATAGCGAGCTCGAACTCGAGCTCGAGCTCGAGTCGAGCTCAACAGTCAAGCTCGAACTCGAGCTCGTGTCACTGTTAACGAGCTCGAGCCGGCTCGCCAGCCATGGGCGGGAATTTTTAAATTTAGGCGGGATTTTTCAAAAAATTTAAAATTAGGCGGGATTTTTAAACTTTAAGCGGGATTTTTAAAACTTAAACAAAATTTTTATAAAAATATGAAATATTTCACTTTTAAATAAAATTTAGGTGATTATTATTATAATTTTTTAATATTTAAATTTAATAAATAAAATAAAATTATTTTTTAAAATATTAATATTTAATCAAGCCGGCTCGCGAGCTCAAGAGTCAAGCCGGCTCGAGCTCGTTTACTAAACGAGCTCGAACTCGAGCTCGAGCTCGACTCGCGAGCTCGATAAGCTCGGCTCGCGAGCTCATAAACGAGTCGAGTTCGAGCCGGCTCGGCTCACTTACACCCCTAAGACCACACAGTCTTTTTTAATTTGTATGTCTTATTCTTTGTCAAAGAGCTATCGAATCTTGATGAGCATACATAAAACCTTCTTTAACATCCCCATGTAAGACAATATTTTTCATAACATACTATTGCATGGATTATTCAAGGTTAGCGATAAAAGAAATTAACATGTAAATTGTATACATTTTTGCACCGGGAGAAAATCTTTCTTGATAGTCAATTTTGATAGAATTGAGAATACATTTTGAAATTAATATATCTTTGCATCACTTCAGTCTTCCACCTACTCTATATTTTAATGAAAATATCTATTTGCATCATAAATTTTTTGTTCCTTTTAGTAGCTCAATGATATATCAAATGTGATTCTTTTCTAAGACGTTCATTTCTTCCCTTATGAGATCCTTCCATTTTTGTTTTATAATACCTCAACAAGATTTGTAGTATTTTAGTAGAGTTAGAGTTATGTTTGTAAAGAAGGATATGTGTAGAAAAATTTTTTAAAGGGATGCATATTAAGAAATGAAATGCATAGAAGAATGTGTGTTGATATGTTGATCATTGTTACTTGATGACAATTCTAACACTTTAGTTCACTACAAACTTTGGCTGAGTTTATTCCTCATTGTATAGGCATGAAGGGGTACATTGACTGGATTTTGCATAGTTAGGATGTCTCGATGGACACGAGTAGTTTCATCAAACTTATCTAGTAGTTGGTTGTTCTCCCCATGAAGATGAATTTAATTGAAAAAATTTTGTTTTTCATCAAATGTGAAGTCTTTTGAAATGAAGAGATTTTTTATAGTCAGATAATAACAATTATACCCTTTTTGAGTAGAGAAATATCCTACAGATATATAATATATTGAGTGCTATAGGATCAAGCTTATACTAGTGTTGTTTGTGGATGTGGACATAAACAATGCACTGAAAATTTTAGAGAAACTTTTGAGAAGAAAATTGTAGCGAAGAATTCAACAAGAAAGTTCAAAAGACTTTGGAAGCTAATTATTTACAAAGGTATTAGTTTAGAACTGCTTCTCCTCAATAACTTTTTGGAACTTAATTTTTAAAAAGACGAGTCCTTGGCACTTTCAAAATATGATGTTTTTCCTTTATGTCCATTTTATTGGGGGTTATCAAGACAAAAGAATTGGAGAATGATACATTCTTGATTGAAGAAAGAAGAATTTGACTAAAATAATCATGACCATAATTTGTGCAAAGTAGATATCAATTTTTTATTCGATAAGATATACTCATATCATCCAAGTATAATCATAAATAAAAGTGATAAATCCTATAGCTTCAGAAATGTTATGGATTTTTGAAGATTTCCAAATATCAGAATAAATTTATATAAATGAAGTTGATCATCTAGAATCATTGTCAGAAAAGGAAGCACAATAATATTTTATAATTTTACAAGTCTCACAATGAAGGTATTCAATGTTAACATTCATACAAAGATAAGTAAATATATGATGGAAGAATTTAAAAGAGGGACAAGTTAACTTATAATAATGTCTAAAATGATTTATATAGAGAGCATGGAGATGAAGGAATATGGCTTAATTTTTTTTTCTTCAAGAAGGTATGGCTCATCATTTTCTATAACCAGTCCAATTGTTTTATCTATAGTGAGATCTTGAAACACAATAATTAGTGAAAAATTTACCTTGCAATAGTATTCTTTAGTAATTTTATGAATTAATAGAAGATTTAGTGCAAGGTGAGAAATGTGTAGTATATCATTGAGGGTAAATGTGCGAGAAATAAAAATATTCACTTGACCTGCAATAGTTATTAAGGAACTATCAGCTATTTTTATTTTTCTATTGTTGTCATAGGATTTGGTCACATAAAATGATGGCTTTCCGATGACCCGGTTATGAGAGTAGATGTATTAGATTTGGCTTATAAGATTTGGTTTATATGCAGAAAGATAGGTAGAATTGAAATAACTTGGTTAGAAAATATTAAAAATGACATTTCTCTATTAAATTTAAATAAGAAATTGACTCTTAATATGACACAATGGAGAAAAAATACTCTTGTAGCCAAACCTGCATAGTGGGATAGAGGCTTGATGTTATTGTTGTTGTGACAAGATTTGAAGATCTAAAAAAGTACATTAGATTTTTCATGTGATCAGAGGCTCCTAAATCTAGAATTCTTATGTGAGGGGAATTATTTGAGTTATTAAAAACACAAGTTAAACTGTGCATTATTTTGGGCAAAGATCCTGAACTAGATGATTTTTCTAGGAGTTCAGGAAGTTCCTAAGTTTGTAATTTTTTTCAAAGTTAAACCCTTCTAATTCCACAAGGCAAACATGCCTTTTTGAGTGACCATCTTTATTACCACTATAGCCTTAGGATTTTTCACAGAGTTTCCAATATTTTTCTTTGATGTGCCTTTTTTTATTACGATAATTATATCATAGATTAACCTTTAGGAGAAGATTATTCATAAACTAAGGGTCTGTTTAAGGCGGATTTCTCATTACTTTGCTTTTTAGACAGCTTCCACATTTTCATTTAGCTATTGCTTTCTTACAAACTTGTGCAAATTTTTGTGGTGAGAAACTGATCTTCACTACCAGGTGTGCTAATGTGTAATAGTTATAAGAAGGCTGCCATTCAACTTGAAAAAAAAAATTTATAGTACTCATATAAGCTTTCAAAAAATTTATTTTCCTCACTATAATTATGTATCCACATATACAAAAAGCTGCAACTGCCCAAAACAAAGCCTAAGATTGCATTAAAAATCATTGATTGACTAACATTTCCAATGTAATCATCTTAATTTAAGGAATGTTTTTCGATTTTTTTTTATTAAAGTACTTTCCCAATCACAATTTAAGGTTCCTTTAAGGAAACTTTTTCACTGTTTTACCATTCAAATAGCTATTACATTGCCGTTTGTTGCTTTCTTACTTCACTTGAGAACTTTTTGTAGTGAGATGCAACTTGTTATAACTAGGTTTGCTAGAATATGATAGCCATAATAAAAATGCTATTTGACCTTTTTTAAAAGGAAAAAAATTATAATACTGACAAAATTTTTAATTAATATGATTTTATCACAATAATTCTGTAACTTACTTTACAAATAACACCAACTACCCTAAACATACTCTTATATTAGTTTTCTAAAAGTAGCCTTTTAAAGGCAATATTTAGAATATATATATATATATATAGAAGAAATAGTCATTCAAATGGACAATACGTTTTTATAGTTATTTTTCCTGCCATAAAAATTATCAGAATCTCAAATCAACATTCGCGATAGACCACAAATCAAGGCAGGTTTCACTCGAGGAGCAAGCGTTAGTACCAATGCCCATTCAGAGATGCAATACTCAAGTCAAGTAGATCATTCAGGGTATTAAACATGGAGGAATGAGAAAACTAAACGGCCCTGATAAAGCAATGGGTTTAGTGTACCTTGCCAAGCTCCTGATGCAGATATTGCCTGATCACAGTTGCTTGCTGAATCAACCTCTCCATTGAAGAATAGGAAGGTAAATTAGCATGGGCTGCCATTACATTGTCCATGAGAATAAAGCTGATCACTTTAGAACATCATATCATTAAGGAAGAAAAAGGACAAAAAAATTTGATGACGCGACAAAGCAGTCAGGGAAAATAAAAGGAGAACAAATTTAAGCATATATGCAAAATTTCATAATTTACCAAGAACGGCTCTATTCAGATTGTCAGCAATACTTTGCCTGTATTCAGAACCAAGCAGGTGAAACATGGGTGATTTTTCAGGCTCCTCGTATGCCAGAAGAGCCATGAAATCCTGTGGCAAATAAAGACAAAAAATTATTCTACTAAGAAATCATGAAATTGATTAAATTGTGATGGTTATAAAGAATGCATGACAGTGGTATTAGATTCTTGACTGCAGAAGCAGCACGTGATATATGAAAGGTTAGTTGGAGTGCAGCTTTTTCATAGCTCGGTTTTTCAGATATCTACCACACTTCTGTTGGGCAGCAACTTTTTTTCTTTGCTGCTTAAAAATTTTTGGGATAAGAAATAGTTTTTTACAATCAGATCTGCTAGTGTGATAACAGTAAAAAAAATTATTACTTGGTTTTTTTTCATTTGGGAAAAAACCTATATAATACCCTCGATTGCTTCCAAAAAATATATATTTTCCCCAAAATAACCTATAATTTGAGCCATATTCAACATCATTGGAGATGCATGAAATAAAAATGTACCTCCAGTTTCTCAACATTCTTTTGAATTTTTCCAAATGGAGTTAGCTTGGCCTGGGCAAATTCCAAAGCTTCTGTGCTGTCATTTACGGATAAATAGATGAAACCTACTAAATCAACCATAATAAGGAGAAACAAAATGATCACTCACCATTTTTTTGAGCATACAAGTTCAACAAAATGAAGCCCCAATAAATCAAAATGCAGATCTTCATTTTGTTCCAGTAATTTGGGTGCTAGTTGTTCTGTTAATTCTATTGCTCTAATAGCATCCCCCTCCAATGCAAAATGGAAAATAGCTGCAACAGCGAAAAACTGGCAATTGATAACGCAAGCAAACTAGCATTTTGTAAATAAGTATGTTCATTCAAAATGTTTCCAAAGTATTACAGATTTCGCACTTCCATTATGTTTCAAGAAAAGAATCAAAATGGTGACTTGACTCTTTATGAAAGACCAAAATAGCCCCCAACTATATTAACAGATCATTTTGGTCCCTTAATTTCTAAAAGAGGAACCAAAATAGTCCCACCATGAGACTATTTTGATTCTTTTCTGAAGACTTGAGGGAGCGGGAGCAAAATGGTCATTTAATATAATTGAGGACTATTTTGATCCTTCATAAAAAGTCAAGGGATCATTTTCCCACTACGTTTTTGTACCTCCGAGTCTCATTAATATTTAATATGCACCATTGCGGTCCTAAATAGTCAATTTTAAATTTAAGAATGAAATTGAGTACAATATTAGCATCGGTTGACATGAAGAACAGGATGCCATCAAGCTGTGCTAAACAGAATTTTACTTAGCAATTTATTAATTAAAAAATGGCAATTAAGTCATCCTCCATTCTAGCATAATCTCACATGCAGCTACAAAATAGAGCAGTATAAAAGGTAAGCAACTGAATGCTACTTCTCCAATTACAATCAGTCAAATTGCTCAGAAATATACATTTACCTTTTCTCTTGTCCAAGTCACTTAGGTAATTAACAGATTGCTGCATTCCAGTACCAGTAAGAAGTGCTTCAGCTGTTTCCTTGAAGCAGTTATGCACAAGATATGATAAGACAATGTTGCGAACGTCATTGTCATTAATGGACTGTTAACACCGAAAAAAAAAATCTTGAAAATCAGCTCAGACCAAAAGTAACAAATGTGTGAACATTACCTTTTGATTATGACCAAAAAAAAATTGCATAGAAAAATAGAAATGCTCATATCATAAAATGGCATAAACGTATGTGACTATCACGCAATACAATGAAATTCCATTCTAAATTTTGATGTAGTTGTAGAGAGAAATAATCCTTCTTACTAAAGAGGCAAGGGACTTAATAATTTATTGAATTCCTATAGAACACTAGCATAATGATTTTACCTTTTAGTGCATATAATTCAATATTTATCAATACAACACTACTAGATTGAATTGCAGGAATCCAATAGGTACAAAAACGAACCAAATTAACCATGATAGAATTAAATAATTTCAACAAGGCAGTGTTAAATCCACGACAAGAAAATAATAATCCAATTATATTAATCGATTCAATCATAGTTCAACAAATTAAGAAACCAACATAGAACAACAAGAGAAATTTGTTTTCTCTACATGTAAATGATACATAAATTCAAAAGATTGAAGTAAACTAAAATATGTTGCACAAAGCATGACAAACTGATGCTTGAAAATTAAGTGCTTAAGATTTCTAATGCAACTAGTGTTGCAATGACTATATATCACACCAAGAAAATTAGCAACTTTTTATCATAGATTCATAAATACGTAAAAAGTTAGTTTCGTTAGTCACAAGCCGTTAATGATAATAGACCGGCAAAAAAAAAGAAAGCAATCTAATTTTCATCGCAATTGAAAACCTATTCGTATCAAATTTCATCAAAATCATGAACTTTTGCAAGTTGATAGTAAACATTTAGAAGAAAATTGATGAATGAAGGAGATCGCCCAAGTTAAGAAAATGTAGGCCTCGCAACAATACAAGGAGATAACTTTCCCAAAAATTAAAGTATACTTGTACCATACTTAAAGGATTCACACATCCAACATGCGCATACCAGATTAAAAATTAAAAATTTAAATTAAATGAAAATAAAAGGTAATGGTTACATGTGTTAGGCGTTGATAATTTAAATCAATGTATAATTTTTCAATCATCTATGTCTCATTGGTTCAATTTAAAATACCAAATACAATCCTATCATGTTACTTGAGATGATGTAACAAAATGAACAACAACAAAGGCCATGGAAAACACACAAAACTCGAGAACAGGACGCAACAAATGTCACCTACAGGAATTGCCAAAGAAAGTGTAAGACATACAATAGGAATCTGATAAGCACCAACAACAGAACCTGCCAAGGAACCAACAACCTACACGAATGCAAGCCACATTGTTGAAGCCTCTAAACACAAATATACAAGAATATATTGCCAGACCAAATTTTTCCATTGAAGGTTGCTAACTGGATTAATCAACGAGCAGAAATGTTTGCGTTCATTTAAAATGAACTAATTGAGAAGCCCAAACCAGAAACCATCAGAATTAATAAGAACATGTCCAGTTCCTACACGATACATCATCACATAAATGTTTCAAATAAACCAAATAGTAATAAAATTAATTGAGCATACTAGAATTATTTATTTTCCCTGCAATTCTGATGAGCATAAATATGCAAATCTCCATCAGAAACATATCACACGTAAGAGCACATGGGCAAACTGATTCGTAGACCTATCTCTTATTGAGTATTCTTGTTGTGGATATATTTCTCTCTGATTTAAGTTTACCTCCACGACATGTTTTAGAACTGAATTGTTAAAAAAAAAAAGCATGGCAGTTTATTATTTCCCCATTTTCCAGTGCTTGAATGAACTAAGGACTTGGTTAAGCAGTAAGACTCATTCTAGAATGCAATGACAGAAGCATTATCGTAAGAAACAAGGATGCAACGACATATGTTATAGGTAGAGAAAGCAACAACAGGATGGATGGGAAGAGGTTTTTACTTCAGTAATAGCCACCGGACCTTGGAAAATTGAGAGCTGAACGAAGTCTCAGCTGGAAGAGATGATGAAAAGAAAAAGAAGTTTGGGATAATTTTTCAAATTGAATTTAATGCAGAATTCAAGACTTCTAAATAGGATATTATAGCAAAAATTAGATTTACTACACTCCTAAATTTTGTTCCTCTGCAAACAAGATACTAAGAGTAAAGTACTATCAAAAGAGCCAAGAACCCCAATGTGACGACACAATGCCTTAGGTGTTAGGAGACCATAGAAGCTAGTCCAAGTGAAGTGGGGCATTAAAAAGAATAACTTTTATTGGCATAGAAAAATAGTCATCATGTGAAATTATGACAGGAAAAACAATGAACCTTCAGGCTCATTGCATTCCAAATTCAGAAATCTTGCCAAATAGTTTATCTTAAATACACAAAATTAAATTAAATAAGTTTGTTTCTAGCAAAGATGGGGGATAATCTATTTTTCCTTACAATCTATTTCATTTTCATTATCATCCGTGCTCTTGTCTATCACCAAACTTGTGTCGCTCCGATTGTTCTTTTATCTCATAGAAAACATTCAATAAATCTCTTGAAAGGATGAACCAAACTAAGGAGATAGAGGCCTCATTTCTCCATCAATGTAATTTTAATTTTCCTACTGGATTATTGTAATTGCCTGGGGCATTTGATGGCAGTAGAAGGATGATCAAATCTTTTTTTTAAAAAAAGGATGATCAAATCTAAAGAGATAAGAGACCGTATAAAATAAATTCCATACACACTCCTGATATTTCTTTGCCACCATATCAGAGTTCAAAAGGGCCATCTGTAACCAGATAATAAGTTCCACAACACTTCTAATGACACAAAGAAATACTACTAGCAGTAACTTCTATGATAAATACCTAACACAAGAAGAAACATAAAATTAAAACACAAAAAAGGAAGAAGAGAGGCACTAGGAATAGGATCAGAAAGAAAGGCCATAGGACGGAAGCAGTGAGAAGTTAAAAATAAAAAAATGTAACCACCTTGGATTAACAAAATATATACAAGTTATAATCTAACTATTTGGTAAAAATCAAAACACCATAAATTGAAACCACGAATGTAAATTAGACCATGTTAATAAGTGACCTAGATTTCCCAAAGACCTAAGCTTTTAGCCACGTTCCACACAATTCATCCCATAATTAAAATCTGATACCATAATAAAAGTCTCATCTTTCTACAGAAGCATCAAATTTACTAAAAAATGTACAAAAGATTAAACGATTAGTAAGTTTTACTCTATTCACTTACTCGAAATAAAAGATGAAGGGGAAGGGAAGAGAAAACCTACGACGTTCTCGTAAACCCTAGGATCGAAGTCCATCATTGCTGCGCCAAGAAGAAGATGAAGAGAACGCTGGGTTGTATTGCGAGACAAGGTATCCTCAAAGGTAGTTTCGTTTCTTTCTTCTCCTTCCTCCGGTGCCGATGTACAGTTAGCACTAGGTTGTCAATTTGAGAAATTATTACGCGCGGAGTCCTTATTTAATAATATTAAGTAAATACGCAGTACTAAGTAAATATGTAATAAATATTCTATAAATATTCAAAAAAATATTCAGTAAATACTTAATAAAGTTTCTAATTTGTTAAGTACATAATTTGAATTTATTTGTAAATTATTAATTGTTATGTAATGTAAAAATATAACATTGTAATTTGTAAACAATTTATATAATACTTACAAGTTTTTAGTATACTTTACCTTATCAAATTTCATGTATTTAATTGCAAATTTATTTTCCAAATTTCTTGCATCAAATTGCTTACAGGTCGGTGACCCGAATATGAACAAGGTCGGGTCAAAAACTATAGGGTCAAAGTCGGATTTGACCTGAACTCGACCTGTAGACACGAATTGTCACCCTTAATTAGCACAATCGCCCATAATTTGTAGACGACGTGCTGACAGTGAGGAATTATGTAAAGCCGATTTATTTACTTAAAGTTGTAATTTTTAAAAAAAAACTTTATTATTTTCTTAAAAGATCAATCACATATAAATATTAATCTTAATTATTTATAAGATTAAAATTTGTATAGTAAAAAGAAAAAAAAAAGAATTCAAATAGACTGCATGTGGATCTTAGAAAGTGGGATAGAATAAAAAGTTACACTTTGGGGTTGTTTGGTAGTAAATGTATTATTTTTTCATTTTTTGGTGTTTGGTTGGATGAAAAATAAATCCATTGTAAAGTAAAATAATAGCAGTGTAATCCATTTTAGTTCATTTTTTAGGTGAATCGCTCCCAACTTAATCAAGAACAATTAAGAATGTTTTACATTGCTCAAGTGATTCATTGATCACCCTGGTGATCGTCGTCTCCACCACCACATGCTACCAGCCCGCCGCCCCCAATAGTCCACCGCCCCGTCGTTGTTTGCCTCCCGCCATCTGCCACCCCACCGCCCAACCTCCAACCACCCTGGTTACAATCTTCTTACAATTTATATAGCATTCACTTTACTTCAAAAAAAAAAGTCAAGTCCAACATTCCTTTTTCACTCGTCCAAATAGCTATAAAGTATTTCTTTTACATTGTAATCTTTTTACATTGTATTCCAAAAGTGTTTTATTGTGAAGGCTTTATAAAAATATTGGCAAGTTGATCTTAAGTAGAAACTATAATATATTAGGATTTGATGTATTATCTAATAAATTAATATTCAATCTAATTGTGTGTTTGTATGAGCATTGAAGATCGGCTTATTTGTAAGAGCCAGAGCGAAAATTTATCACAAATTCATAGTTGAGAGATGTTGTAGAAGAGATAGGAAACCCACACTTATAGAGTGGACGTCAAAATGGTATAATATAAGTGGTGGTTAAAAGTTATCACATAAAGCATTGCAGGTCTTAGCCACTAAATTATTTCTTAACGCACTTCAAGACTAGAGTTTTGCTAAGAAACACACAATAACTAGATGCAAACCATATATCGAGAGTTTAGCTAGCCCTGCCTACATTGGCATATGTGAAAATATTCAAAGTGTTCTTGCGAATGGGAGTGTCATAATATGTAGCCCCTTGGAGATAAGGGAAAAGACATTTGAGTCTTTTGATATTAGGAGCAAAGGGATTTTTGAATTGCTTGGCAAAGTCAGTTTATTATGAAAGATAAATAAAGTTGGGTGATGGTTAGGTATTGCGACAAACCAATTAAGTGTATATTCAAGGTGTGGCTAGCAAGTTTGGTCTAGGATATCTCCATGAGTGTAGTTTTGGTTGATAAAGGATTATGAAGGATTTTGAAGTCGTTCATACCAAGCATTGGAGCAGGTCTAGCTCATATGGAGCTTGGTGTAGGAACACATAAGGGTTGGTGAAACCATTATGACAAAGAATTTTAATGTGTTACCTAAGTTTCTCATGTGAAATGAGGCGGTTAGTTGTTCCACGGAGCTAAGGTGGCTGGAGTATCATATTTTATCGGTCCATTGGATATCATTGGTGTAGTTCAAAATATATAAATAATTGGAATTGGCTTGGTAGATTATGAAGGAGGGCCAACTAAGCTGAAGATAAATCCTTATTGAGGCAACTTGTTGGTTAAGGTTGAAAACTATTGCTTAAGTGATTTTTTTAAGCTTATGTACAACCTTTTTAAGGAGGCAAATGTGGTTTGGGTGTTACAAGTCTTGGAATACTAGGAATAGCAATGTAAGTAGTATTGAATCATATTCTACTGATAATCTATTGGGTGTGGGAAGTAGTATATGTACCTCATGGTAAATATAGGAATAGACTATCCATTTTAGATAAGTACTTATTTTTCCCTGTGATATGATATGGGTTGATGCAGTTGCTACAGGTCAGCGATGAAGTGAATGTTGCTCTCATGCCGAGGTAATAGTTCCCAGCTGAATGTAGAGAGACAATAAATAAATTCTAGGGGATGATGCGCAAGTAGTTGATGCATAGCTTGTATTATTAATGGATGTCATAATGGTCTATCTTGTTACAAAATTGGCGCACTACTAGGGGAAAGATGTTCAATTCACTTGATGACTAGAGAGTGGGGAGCAACCTGCTTTGTGATTGTTGGAATGAGGTGTACCCTCTATTGTTGTTAGTATTACATGAGTGGTTAGGATAATATAACCTTTGGGTGTAGCAATAATGGTGTAAGAATCTAAGATTTGGAGTGAAGGTAGCTCATGGGTGGAGTGAATGTAGCTCATGGGTAGCTTTGCTATAAGATTATTTTCTTCAATACAAGGTAGGGAGTAAGGATCATTGAGAGAAATTTATTGGAGGTTTGTTTTAATGGTTTTTTAAACACTTAATAAAATGGAGAGAGCCTATTAAGTGTGTAGAGGATGACACCTTCAAGATCAAGGTAAGATCACGATCCATCGTTTGCTTTGGATTTAATTTTGGTTTTGATGGGGAAAAAATGTCAAGTCATGGATTGGTCTTTCCATGGTAATGTAGTGCATTTCGTTCTAAATCTAAATAACTTGAAAACAACTCATTTATTGAAGTATATTTTCAATAGTAGTTCATATTTAAGCACATGTTTAAGGTAAAGGCATAAGACATAGGAGAGTTGTGATACCTAAATGTTCTGACCCAACCTGATTCAAAATGCCATTGAATTTTTACATGCGTTTGAGCATGATTTATGTGCAAGTGAGAGCTTGTATGTGTTTTAAAGTGCGTCTCTGGGGTCCATTTGCATGTTTAACAAATGTGAAATTTCCCCCCTTGAGCGTTTCAACGTTGGAGATGGCGCCACTATAGCACTGGGCTTTCTAGAATTTTGAAAATTTACTCATACTGCACTGCTAGGGGTAGCGCTGCGGTGCTATAGGCTCTTAGATGGAGAGCTACAGCGCTCGCTCAATTGGGTACCGTGACGCTAGGTTGAATTTTTATATTAATACTATCATTTTCAACTATTTAATTAATTCCATTCCCTCAAAGCTTCTGTCTAGAGAAAAAGATAGGAGAAATTTTATATAGAGAGTTTATTCTAGGCTACATCAAATCATTTTTAACTTTTGGTCTAGTTCTGAAAACTGTTCTAGTTGAGATAGGTTACATTTGACTATCTGAATTTTAAAAAATAACAAAAAAAAAATTTAAAAAAAATTATTTAATTTATAATTTCATTAGCAAAAAATGAGGATAATTTGTTAGGCAACTTTATGTATGTTGCAAATACGATAATTTTAAACATTTAGGTATTTTCTACAAAATTTTCATCAATTAATTAAGAGAAGGGAGTAGGTTAGCTTAGTGGAAAATGATATTTGTATTTTTAAATTTTGGCCAAGAACTGTGTCGTCCAATCACCCACGCCAGAGCGCCGCAACTCCATGCCAAATGGCGCAACATAAATTAATTGCTAAAATTCCAAAGTGCTCAGTGTTGTGACACCGCCTAACTCAACACCAAACACTCTAGGGGCAAAGTTTTAGATTTTACTAACGTGCATGCAATCCTTTGGGACCCCACTTCAGAACACATGAGATCTTCACATTCATACAAAGCAATCCTAGACGCATGCAGATGAGTTCAAATATAGACAGTAAGTGAGTTACTTATTTTAGATTGCATCATAATAGGTGTTACTGTATCATAATTAATTAGTAGGTGTTCCAATATATCACCTTTATATTTAAAATACATGATATGCATTCCTTTACTTTCAATTAGTAAAACATGCATTTTTAGTATATTACAAGCATATTAATGTGTATAGTAATATAACTATATTGGTTGTATATGATCTATCTAACGTGAAATGTGTGTCAAGGAAAGAAAAACTAATTGAAAAATATTTGACTAATTCAAGTTGGCTTGAGATATATTATTCTATGTATGAGGTGGGCCACCGGGCTTTCCTTTAAATATGGTTTATAGTGTATTCCTAAGTGATATGAAAAGTGAGATATAGAGAGACTGATTAACATAATATGATATGTAGAAGAACATGAAGTGATAACTTCTTACGTGAAAGCCACCTGACTTGAGACTTGTCATTTGAGACATGTGATATGAGACTGATTTATGGCAATAAGATTAATATAATTGAGACTGATTCCTATAGGATTGACGTACATGATATTATACACAAAAAACACTACAAGTAGCTAGGCGTCCTATCTTGGTTGCATATACATATTACATGAGCATATATGATAAATAACATAAGTGACATGATATGATATATAAAAGGATACACGAATGACCGATATTGACATATGATATTGTTGATATGATTGATACAAGGGCACACGATATATATGAGTTATATGATATACATTATATGTATTGTCTATGATATTAATGTTATATGACGTGTATATACATATCAGCATATGACATTATAGTGGATTGATAAGACTTATCATCGATACATTGTATTTGATAGAAACAATTATATACATGCATACAATATTCATGCACATAATATAAAAGTGTATTAATTTATATAAAATAAAATATAAACTATTTTGTAAATGATGGACATAGAAATTTTTTTTTTTTAAAAAAAGTATTGACAAATGATCTTTTATATGGTTATTGATCACTGATTTTGAATCACCTTATTTACATTGCTCATGTAAGATTACACTGTTCAAATTAATTGATATATATTTTTACAGCTACATGTTCATACTGATATTAATTTAATAATTACATGCATACTGCTTCTATTATCTTGTATTGATTGTAATCGTAAGTTTTGGTAACCTAACCTACTGAGTTGTTAGCTCACTTCTTAATTCTTACATATTTTTAGGAAGTTCAGGATTTAGAGAAGTGAGACAAGCTAGATTTTTCCATGTTTTTAATTTATTTTCTAAATTTTAGTTTATTCTTTTGAAGTCATGAGCAGAGCGAGATAGAATGATGTATAGTGATTGATCTCCAGACTATTATGCATAAAATTTTTTTAGATATGAATATATAAATATGATTTTGATGTATACGAATTATAGTTTCAAAATTAGGTGATCTTGAGCTCTTTGGATTTATATTGTCTCTACACTTATATTGATTATAAACGTGCAATATTTATATATTATTTCATCATCCAAATAATGACTCAATTTTTTTATTTAAGCTTTAAGTGCTTGATTTGGTCTCATTTAGACTTGAACTAGATTACTTTTGGTACTAAACTATTCATCTCACCAAGATGTTATAGCTCAACCACAAGTTTGTTAAATCAAAATTTAGATAGTCCTAAATTAGATTTTGATACTTTTCCATTTTAATCTGCATCAGTATAGATGCTTCATCACTTAAATTTTTGAGTGCCTCTTCAATATTTTGATGTCGATCATGATGCATTTTAAAATCTTTAGACCCAGTTTAAGATAATTTAATTTATGAATAGGCAATTAATTTTTATATTATTTTTATCTCAAAATAAATTTAAAATTTTTAAAACTCATTATGACTACTTTTTAATTATGAAATCTGAATGACCAATTTGTAAAAAGGAGCTTATTTTAAATTTAAATTAGCTTAAGGAGCATGTTAACGAAAAAATCTAGAAAGTAGCAAATACAGATTTAAATTATTCGGTTTCAATAGAAACCAAAATTAAATTATCTGGTTTCCAGATACCATTGAAACCGGAACTTCATTATTCAATTTCAATAGAAAATGTTCATACGTTTTAATAAAAAAAAAATCCTTAAGAAATCGGTACTCTATATATATACCAGTTTCTTAATAAAAAAAAATATTTTTTTCCCCTAAGAAACGAGTATCGATTTCTATGAAAGTCAATTATTAATTTTACTTTTTTTTTACACTATTTCAATTTCAATTATTAATTTATATAATTTTTTATTATAATTTTTTTCTTAAAAAATAAATTAAATATATTTAATAAAATTGATCGGATGTTTTGGCTGAATATTTTCTTTTCTCCAACCTATAAGAAACATTCTTCTTCAAAATAATAAAGAATATATATGTTGTGTGACATGAATAAATAAATAAATGATATTTTTTTTTCTCTCTTCCTCTCAACGAAAGTTCTACATGGGGTTCTGATCGGATACCCACGCTTACCATGGTGACTTTCGAGATGTAGCATCCACCCAGACCCACCCACTTTACATGCTTTGTATACACGATCCACCGTAAATTTATGGTATTGAGGCTTATTGCACTTTGCTATGACTGTAAACTTTCAAGCTGCATATTGAAATTTATCATGGTCGCAACGCGATTCAATGTTGTCCACTGCGAAGTGAGGATTACAATAATATACATCATATGATAATTAGCAAAGTAAATCAATTGATCCCCCTTGTTGAGTACCTACCTATAAGGCCACCATAGGCATACCCATACCCACCTATACCCATTCCCATTGGGTTAACCGGGTATGATTAGATACATGGGTTAGTATCAGTACCCAATGCAGGCTTTGCTCTCAACTACAATAATACCATATGCCCATCATAAAATGATAATACAAGCAGAATGTAATAAAAGTATTCTGATTTATCTATTATATTTATTTAATTAATTGATGAGGTAACTATTTATTTTAAGGTAAATTTAATGAATAAAAAAAATATTAAAAATAAAACACTGCCCTGGTGATTCCAAACACTGGTTTCGACAAGGAGACTGTTGATAAGTAAACGTGGCAGCTGATGATAGTTCTCTGTATTATTTATTTTACTCCCGAGTATTTGAATGGACTATAACAACGGTGACAACCATAGCATGGATAGTTAAGAAGAGATTTAAACATCATTTGGGATAATTTTTTATTGATTATTAAAATAGAATTTTAATAAATTTTTGTACTAAAATTTTATTTTAAAAAACAATAAAAAAATCATCCTAAAATTTTTTGTATTAAAAAGCTACTTTAAGAAACAATAAGAAATCCATCTCAAATGAGTCTCAAATGAAACCTTAATCTTCATTTGAGACTGCTTTATTATTGCTTCTTAAAATAATTTTTAGTTAAAAAACAGTGAGAAAACTGGAACTAAAAGTTGCACCAAATGTAGTTTTAACTAAATTATCAAGTAGGACGATTGGGAAAAAAAAAAAAAGTAGGGCCATTAGGAGTTATCTTAATGCAGGTGCTCTGGGCTATCCACAAATAAAGCAGAAATATACAAATTTCACAAGTTAAAAACTTGAGAGAAAGAAAGGAAAAAGAACACGGCCAAAAGCCTGAAGAACAGGTTCTATGCTCGAATAAAAAGTGAGTGGGAACATTAAGATCCAATTTTGATCAGAATGATCATAAATAAGTGACACGTGTCCATTTTTTTAATGATAATTTGTTTCTAATTACATGTAAATATTTTTTTTATTTTTAAATTTCTGCAAATTAAAATTTAAATATAATATAAATATCACGAATCAAATTTTTTAAGCCATTCTGATCAAAATTAGCTAAGTTCCAATGAGACCTCTGAAACGAGCATATGACAGCACACCTAAAAACAGAATGGCGCTTAAGATTCCTGAAAAGATGACAACCTGGGAATTCAAATGGAAAATATTTGGTATTTCATCTGGAGAAGCTAAGTTCAGGAAGACAAATTAATGAAAGAAAAGAGAGATTATTAGATGCGGAGTGCGCACAAGTATGGGGTATCTAGCGGTACCTGTATTCGGTATCGCTCGGTACCGCTGGGTACTGCTAGGTACTCAGTGTTTGTGCGGACGGTGTGCACTCCGCACCTAATAATTTTTCGAAAGAAAAAGGGGCGCGAGGCGCATACCCATTTGAATACGTAGCTGTGGTCGTCATTCCAAGAGTATGGAATGTTCATGCCAAATATTCCGGCTAATAACGAGTACACGGTAAGAGAACAAGTTCCAGAGCTCAAGAACAGCTCCAACTGAAAAGACAAAAAAATAAGATATAATTAGGGTTTATTGTTGTAAAAGCTTTAAGCTTTTTAATTTCATAGGCCTTTCATGTAGAAACTAATTTGCCCTTGTAAATTTCTATGATGAGTGAGACAGGGTGTTAAGCCTTACAACAGCTGCCAAAAATCATATCAAATGAAAATTCAGTGCGAATTCAGTAGAGTATACGAGTGCTAGCAGAAAATTAAGGCTTCGTTTCGGACATTTTTCTTACTACTTCTTAAAGCGGCTTTTTAGTACTAGAAAGCCGCTTTAAGAAGCAAGAAGAAAGTTGTCCCAAACGAAGCTTAAATCACATGCAACTCATCTTGATCTATTGGTAAGAAGTTCTGGCTATCAACCAAAAAGTCTGAGTTCAAAGTTTGTGTATGACTGTATGTGATATGTGTGTAAATTTGTCTTAACTAACATAAATGTCTAAAAAATAAATAAATAAATCATCCATACTGTCAAATTATGAGAAAAAACGGATCAGAATATTCTAAATAATATTTGATAAAAAAAGAGTAAAATTTTTTAATTTATACTGAGATATGTGAAATAAATGAATAATCAGTAAATGTTAATATTGTACTGATCTCTACGTAAATACAAATTTATCAAGAATGAAAAATGCCCGAATAACTTGCATGGTAAGGGAAAAAGTTACTTGAATCAATTGATTTCGGTGATTGTCAAGCTGCAAAAAACACAAAAGAAAAACAAAAGTCACATATGATTCAGCGAATGGAACTGGATAAATATAACGGAAATAAATAAGTAGAATTCCTCGTATTCCTCCAACTACCTGAATATTGATGTAGTCCTCAGTATCATCGATATATTCTCGCAACTGAAAAAAATAGAATGAGAATTTGGCCAGTGTAAAAAAAAATAAAGAAGAAACGTTCAGTTATAGGAAGGATCATTTACAAGTTATCTTGTCTGTTTATAACATTTTTTTTTTTGGAAAAGTTAGGCCAATTAAAGCAGATTCACATACACAGCGCATGCACAAGACTCGAACTCAAGACCTCTTAATTACTAGCCTTAGCTCTCAACTAAGAGACCAAGGTGAGTTGTGTGTTTATCACATTTTTATAAGAGTAAAAGTAGCAAAATTATTAAATCACAGTTTTGTTTCTTTAAATATCCGTGCAAAGCTATGTGCAGCCTTGAAAATTAAAAATGGACAGCCGTGTACAATGTTTATAACATTTTTGGCAAAATCTTCCAATTTTGATGCTAAAACTAACTGATTTCACCTTTAGAAACACAAAATGACAGCAATTTTTTTTTCTTTTTTTCTTTTTTTGTTGTACATAACTGTGCACACTTAGTAGACATAGTTGTGTACAAGTTTGCATGATGTACACAACTGCATATAAATTTTTTTTTTTCAGCTTCATCAGGTTTTGGAACTGTATATATTTATGTATGGGTTTGAAAAACGAAAAAAAGGCCACAGACAGTTGTGTATAGGTGCTTTTTGACAACTTCTATTCTTGGTGCTGCGTAAGCTGTGTACAATTTTTTTTTTTAAACAACTTCATCAAGTTTGGTGTTGTGCACAGCTGTGACAACCATAAAATCACAAAATGTGGGCTCTACAAAGCTATGTACAACCTTAAAGGGCTGTTTGGCAACAAGTAGGATTTAACTTGAATAATAAGATTTAGTAAATTTGCTGAAGTTAAATCCTGGAAACTATTTGATAACGTAAGGGTTAAATCCTGCTAAATCCTCTGGAGTTGTTTGGCAATGTAATCAGATTTAAGGTGGTTATTTGTAACTTTATGCTGGAAGTCATGTTCCGCTGTCCGCTCTCACCCTCCCTTAAATCTTAAGTCCGCCGAATTGCAGGATTTCGTAAATATGACAAAAACGACGATACAGAGGATTTATTCCGCCCTAACTTCCAACGGCGCCATAAAACCTGTTTGGCAGGATTTAGCGTAAATCCTGCTCAAACCGGGCATAAATCCCGTTGCCAAATAGCCCCCATAGAAAAGTAACTTATGAAAACTAAAAAAGTTTTAGTAGAACCCTATTAATATCAATCCTGCATCATCAAGATTTCATACCGTGTTCAATTTGTTCAAGGTGCCGTCAATTTGCATAAAGTATGCCTGCACAGTATTCAGTGATGGTTTGGAATTAAACATGTAAAATAAGCCATTTTAATAAAAAAAACTAATGTTAAAAATCAACTTGTTAAAAAACCTCTAGTATCATTTCAAGCTCCTCAACATCATCATCATTTCCATGAAATGTCGCCACACTTGTCTTTCCTGCTTTGGATATTCTCGAGCCTATTGTCGGAGAGGCAGGCACCCAGTTAGGAGCAGCAGAACTAGCAGGCGATGCTGCTGCTGCCAATTTTCTTGAGAGATAAAGGTCAGCCATGTCTTCATCGTCCTCCAGTAGCTGTTCAAGTTCGTCTCTTACCTGGAGAAGATAACCTTGGTATCAATGAAATTATTGAAAAGAAAAACCTTTAAACTATGCATTCACTAAGGGACGTAGAAAACATTAACAAAACATAACTTGAACTGCTAAATGTATTTTAGGGTTAAAAAACGCAGTATAAAACATACGGGGCTTAAGGATGAGAGAAACAAGAATATGTAGAGAGAATCTTATAGAAAAATAAAAAAATAATCAAAATAAAAATCATTAAAAAAATAAAAGTCTACTTTTTTTTGGTCGAACATATTATACTTTATTAGTCTGTAAAATTATTTCATTGTAATATAATCCACTTAGATAAGTTAAACCAAAAATAATACGATAGATGCATCTTTTGAAGTAGAATTCATTTTATCGGTTATATTTTATTTCTTATTCCTTATAGAATAATCTAATTATTATAAGATAATGTGCTTCGTAACCACATTTGAATAACATATTTCATAGCTTAACCTAAAATATAGGCTTGATAAAAAAAATTGTTTGCATTATTAAGGGCAGGATCAATAATATCAATAAAATTATTAAGATAATTAAATTTAATGGAATCTGTTCATTTACTATCCTGCATTCAAAGAACGAATATGAAAATGAATGCTCAGGCTCCCAATTCACTCTTTGGTAGATATCAAGCTCCAATGCACAATTTCAGCGAGCTCAAAAATTAAACTTGTTCATAATAAAAGAAAAAAAACAAAAAAAAACATTAAAAAAAAAACTGAGGCAAGTGGAAATAATTTAAAATTTTTTTATTGAGTAGCATAGGGAAGCAACTGGTTTTTGACGGTCAAGGTGAATTAAATTTAACCCCAACCTCTTTCTTTTGTACTCATAACAAACCAGTTGCCTTAAGACGATCAGTCAACAACCAAAAGAATACATGAAGGAATATGCTAAAGCACCAAATTTTTCTGTATCGAGAGAATGAAAACCTATCTCAGACTACCTTTTGAACCCTCGCAGTCAACCTTGTCATGCCACTCTTTAGCTTGCGCACTCTGTCCAAGTTAAGACTGCTAATCTGCAAAACAATCTCATTTTAGGAGTACTAGCATGTTGAGAACCCATATGTAGCTGGCACTCTAAATCAATTATCAGTTTTTATCCATCTAGAGAATATTTATCAACATGAATGGAAAAGTTTAAAAAAAAAAAAAAACATACCTGACTTACTATTGTATAACTAAAATAAAAAGAGGAAAAAAATACCACGCTTATATTTTACAATTCAAGGAAATCTCATTAAGAAGCACTGCAGTGCAGCGGTTAATGCTTCATGAAATCAAGTGATGGGATACAACCACATCATGATTAAAAAAGATATTAAAAATTGAACACAAAATGGAAAATACTAATCTTCCTCACAAGTAGCTTTCAGTGGTAAAATTGATTCATAAAGAAAAACGAGTAAACAAACTAATATACGCAAATAAAAGAATTGAATTCAGGAAGTTCACATATTTGTATAAACAAGTTACCTTATATGGCTATATATGTAAAGAGCTGCTCGTCTCCTTTGTAGTCATCAAACAAAGGACTATAAATAAGCTATGATTTTTCAATTTGCTCATTGCTATATGAATGAACTGAGATAGGGACAAGTGTTGTATTGGAAGCCTACATAAATCTAATACAAACACTTACCAAGATGATCATGTCCACAAAGTGATTGGGCTGCATCAAATTAATAAATTTTGATATTGGGAGATCTTTATGGACAATGAAAGATTGTATAATATGTTGTAGGATCTTATAATAAATTCTGTCTTAAAGACTATTCTTTATTACTATTATATATAGTCTTACAAGGAAAGAGGTTTGGCATTCCAAAACCCCAATCAACTGGAGAGAAGTGGGACAGAAAGAGAGAGGAGTTGGCTACCAACAGAGAGAATAAAGAGAATAGTATTCTTTTTTTCCTTTTATTTTTTTCATTTTTCTTGGGAGTGGCAGGAGGGTGATGGCAAAAAAGAGTGGTTCTGGTTCTTCAAGAAGAATATGCTGTTAATATTGGCCATAATAAGCAAAAGCTCTCTCACTAGAGAAAGGAAGAAAGTAATAACATCAATAATATCTTATTCTCCACATCCAACCCTCTTATTCACAGTAGGTGGTGGTATGGTTGCATCATCTCTTAAATTATTTACATAGATAAAATTATCTCTCTATCTATCTTTTTAGCTTTACCTGAAGAGAAAATTCTTGATGCACCCTTAGTGAAATATTTGCTCTTTATAATGCCGTGGATGAACGCGAGTGTTACCGAACCGTGTAAGCATGTGTCTTTTGTTGTTTGGTGAGTCCATTCTCTCATCTTCATTTAATTTTTGTCCAAAATTTTATTACTATTCTAGCATGCATGTATTTAAAAACTATAAATAAGAAGATCTAGAAGGTGTTTGAGATTTTCATAACATACTTCCAACTTTTCATAGAGCTAATGATGACTCGAATTAGGGGAGCCAATAAATGACACCATATGATAACCCAAGATGGACCCAACCTTGAAAATAAAATTTGGGCTAATTTGACTAAATTTTGGGTCGGGATTGGGTTGACCTAGAAACCCAAAATTTTATCGAACCTGATCTTATTACTATTCGCGATTAGGTTAAATATATTAGGGTCTAGTTAAACAGTTACGTTTAGGATAATTTGTTTGTGTTTGTTAAAAAAAATTGCATGATGTATATAATAAATAGATCAAGTTCGGGCTAGGCGAATTGAGATCAAATCATATTTGAGTAAAATATTTTGACCCATATAATAAATGGGTCGAGTTTGAGTTAAATTTTTAACCCATATAATAAATGGGTCAATTCGGATCGTACATTCAAGTTGTGACAATTTTGGGTAATACTCGAACCTGATTAATCAACCCAAATTTACACCCCCCAACTCTGATAGATAATTTGATTTCTATAAGCTAATCGTTTCAAAGCATTGGTCTTGTATATAAATGCCCTATAAAATAACATCATAAAGCTTAAAGAATGAGATCAACCTTTCAAGACTTTGGGTGTGAAGGATCTCATTTTGTATTAAACAAATTCATATTAGTAAGCATAAGGGTGGTTAAACATTGGGAAATTGCGGTTAAACATTGGGAAATTGCATTTCACGATCAAGTTAAACCAACTATATCCAAAAGACACCCATAACTTCTAACATAGTAGTAGCCTCTAACAAAAACAAAATTCAGCAAGAAAGGATGATGTGAAATTTAATAAATTAGAATGACTTCAATCAAGAAACTAATAAGTGTTGGAACTAAAAATCATCATTCATGAAAATCATGGGCTTTACAAACTGAACAAACCTTTGAAATAAGCTCATCTAAAGCTGGATAAGCAGAATTTTCAAGTTCTGTTGCACGTGCATCGAGATGACTGCAAATCGCTTCAAGAGCAACTTCTAGGGCCCGAAACTCAAATGGAGATTCTGCACCGAATTGCATAAAAAAACTCGAGGGGATAAACATGAAAAACTCTAGGAACTAGCAGTAACAAATTTGCAATAATTTAATCTCAAACTGTTTTGAGCAGAAAATTTTTCAGAATAACAGCAAATAATGTTTTTCCTTTTTGAGACTTGAAGACATTTTTAACACAAATTGCAAATACGAATTAAAAACCTACTGCAATAATTTATTTCATTTGTTTTTCATAAATTCTTATGGCCTCTAGCCTCTATAAATATGTTAACTACCCACCTAATGCCATAAATTTAAAATCCACAAGTTTGTTACTTACGGCCTTTAGGCATTATGTAAAGAGATGGTTACATTATGTTAAAGGGTATCACTTGTTCCTCTCTTTCATTTAACTGGGTGTGGGTGAAGATAGAAAAAGTGGACGATGGACTGGTAAAAAATTAATAGTTAACTTGGACGGTGTCATACGTAGCAATTTCTCTATTATGTGGTCAATAATGATCACTGAATGGGTTAGAGGTGATAGAAGAAAATAACAAAGGCTATGACCAGTAAGTTGATTCAACATCAAAGGCAATAAATATTACTCTATCACTGATGAGCAAAACCAGTGGAGGAATCATGCTCAGGTTTGGATAGGAAACAATACAGAAAAAGAGGGAAGAATGCTGAAGAAAGTGAGAAAAAAATTTGGGTGGGCAAGTTTTTGTTTCTAGACTAATGGATACTCATCTCTTTGTGTGACTGAACGTAGGTGGATTTCAATTTTCAACAAATCATGCAAAATTTCTTATGTTATTTTCTTGGAGTTTTGCTTGCATACTATTATTAATTTCTTCATTCTCATGATTGTCATTGCTCTCTAGCATGCATTTTTACATAACAAATGGTATCGGAGCTAGGCATTTTAACTTTTATGAGGAAAGTGTGATTAATGGAGTATGAAGATGGAAAGGTGAGGATATCGCTTGGTTTATATTAACTTTGACGATGAAGTTCATACATTATATTGTTATCAACATTACTAGAAAGTTGGGCTAGGATCTTCATAGTTGTCAGCAACTCATGTGGGTCAATGAAGTGATGTATGTGATTTGATCTTAAATAAAGACGTCAAGAGATGAGAATCTGATGAAGGTCCTTCTACTGCTGTGAAGTTTAAGAGTAGAGAAATAAGTGTTGAAAGAGACAATAATGGAGGTCTATTGAATCTTAACAAACGAGCAATAACAAAGCCATGGCAAGTGATGTAGCAAAACTGGCACATGAAAAGAGGCAGTCCACAAAGGAATAATAACTAGAGTTCGAAAAAGATAGAGAAATCTGAAAATGATGCAAGTGAAGATGATGTAGACAAAGGGGGGGGGGGGTCAACTCCAAAATAAATCAAATTTTGGCTTCCCTTGAGTCTACTAGCTCAATCCAATTGAGCTAGAATTTTAGCTCATTTATGAGCTAGGCTTTAGTTCATTTATTGAACTAGGGGTTAGCTCATTATTAGCTAGGATTTTTAGCTCATAGTTATCTTTATATTTAATGTACTTTTTATGCTTTTTATGTTTTTAATTGATGTTAACTCTTGGAATTCCAAACCGACCTTTGGAATTCCAAGAAGTGTCTTTTCCCATGAAGTGACTCCTTGGTTTCCTTCATGGGATGTTGATTTTTGTGTATGCCTCTTGGGCGGGCTCTTTCCACCCTTCTTTCTCATCCCCTCCGGAAATCCTGCGAGCTCTTTTCAACCTTTCTTCTCGGGCTTCTAACCTCTTTCGTCTTTCCGCAAGTGCCACTCCACCTGTATCCTTCTTCTCCAAGTGCAGCAACTTTAGGGTGTCGTCATTTTGTTTGCAAGAGTCGTTTGTATTGTTGTAAGTTTTCTTTTGTTTAGTTTTATTTGAAGAGTTTGTTCGTCTCTTTTCTCGTCTTTAGCCAATTTCGTCCGTAGAAGTCCGTCGTGTCTTTTGTGATCGAAAAATATAGGTCCCCTATATTTTTCGCTCGCATCAGAAGATATCTATGATATTATGATGCACTGGTTCTTAGTGCAGATAGTCCGATGGAGTCATGAATCATAAACCCAAGTGTGCATGCTCATTTAAATCCATATAAAAAGGATTTGCTATCTAACTATTTTGTAGAAGGTTGTGGGAAATTCAATATTCTTGATGGTGAACTCTTGAATGTTGTGAGGGTGTTGATTTGCAAATTAAGACGGGTAATGAGACAATGTAGAAGCTTTATAATGTAAGGAATGGTATTAGATTGAACAGAAACTTAATCTTGATTGATCAATTTGATGAAAAATACGTCTCAACCATCTGTTTTGATTCTTCGAAGGTGACCTAAGGCATTATGGTGATAGCACATAAAGCCAAAAATGCTACCATGTATATGCTGTCAAACACCATAATAGTAGAAGCAATTGCTACATCTATTAATGGTAATTTTGAAAGTGCAATGCATGATAAAGTTTCAATAAAGCATGAGCTTCCAACAGGTGGATGGGCAGATGAAAATTATAGGGCAAATGACATTTCAGGATCAAGGAGCAATAATTTACCAATGCAAGAATGGTTGTAAAGGATGACAAGCTTATCATTGTGGACTGAGGTACTACAAAACCTTAGTCAACTCCCATGGATGATTGAGAGGTTGTGTCAGATAGAAATGACTCTCTGAATACATTACATCAAAATTTCATATTAAAATAAGAGATTGTTGAGATGTGGAGCCAAAATCTACTACATGAGTTTGTTTTATATATTTTTCATCCATTCCTACAAACTCTACAAATCCTTTATAATTATGTTACCTACGATTTAATACCATCTACTTAACCTTTACAAGTGAGTTACCTACCTGCCTCTATGCATTAAAGAGATGATTGCAAGGTGTTGAAAAACATTACTAATCATTATCTTTAATTCATTCGGGTGTAAAGGCGAAGGTTGGAAATGTAGTCGAAGGAGTGATTGGAGATAAGTACTTATCTACTGAGTGGAAAGCAACGATCTGAAAGGCCAAAGATGATAGCTAGAAGTCAAAACTGTCAAAAGGGCTGGTAATTGATGAGGTGGTCTATAACATAGAAAGTGATAGGCTTTCCTCTATCTCCAATGAAGCATAGTTGGTGGAGAAATCATGCTTAAGTTTGGGGAGAGAGAGGAAGGGGGAATACTATTGAGATAAATTGAGGAAAATATTCAAGGGTAAATATTTGCATCAGATTTTTTTCTCAATACTATAACACATTTATCTCTCTCAACATAGCCATGAACATATAATATATTTTATTGAACCATGCAAACTTTCTTATATTTTTTCCCTGCGTTCTTCTTGTAGATTATGTTTCCCATTGTAATTATTGTTAATGCTCTTAAGCGCTTACTTTTTCTCAATAATCATTTCCCTTCCATTTCAGTTGTCCTAAAGTTAAAAAAATATCCATATTTTATTAAATAAAATCCATGAAAATAACAAAAAAAAAAATCAAACGCTGGCATTTTGCTCTCTTAGCTTAAAACTAATAACATATTTGATTTGGTTGATCTAAATTTCCATTAATTTAGTCATTATAACTCGAGATTTACAACATTATGGCAAAACTGCTGATAAAGTTTCATGGAAAACCATATGTTTGATAGTAGATACTCAAACAAGTACGTTATCACAACAATCCACTAGTTGATGGAAACATATCTTGCCGTTGTTTTCATTTTTTATTCCTAATCTACAAGTCCTACTTTTTAAATTTTTTACTTCTAAAATGATACCTGTAACCCAAATTCACAATTCACTAGACATGCAAGTTGACTCAACTCTAATAACTCACCATCTTCTTCAGCAGGTTCGGCATCATAATTCCTTCCCAGGTTCTTTCTTGCCTCGGATTGTGCTAGATTGGCAGAACTCCTCACTGGCAAACGCCTTCTAAGCTCCTCCACAACTGGAATCACATTATCATCCAAAGGATCTCTAAGCATCACCTGCTTAAAACATGGATGATTAGGAAAAATAGAAGAAACAAGATTAAAGCAAATAATTCTAATCTGCGGCATATTCAGAAGGATTAAAAGAAGGTAAGAGTATCACCTCATTCGCCGTAATAATGGCCTTGATATGCTGATCCTCAAACAAAAAAGTAGAAATCAGAGAGTATACCTGACGCTAAAAAAAAATATAAAGTTTAAGAAAAAAATCCACATCAAACCTCAAGATTAAGAACAACTGCCTTCTCCCGACCCAGAATGGTGGAAGGATACGAGAGCATTGGATCAATAATCCTTAGGTCCCGTGCATGAATCTGAACCCTATGCATAATCGCATACTTGTCGACGTCGAGAATCGTTCCCTCCCCATCGGAATCCATCAGAATCCAACTCCTCGACGCCTGCGCCGCCTTCTTCTTAGCGGAATCCACCGTCGCCGCCACCGACACCATGCCGTCTCTGGTCATTCCCTCACCCCCTCCGCAACCCTAGAATCGCCAAATTCCGTGAGGCTGTAAGGAGGGCGAGTCGTAGATCACATGACTTCCCGCAAAAACCCTAACTTGACATGCTCTTCGAACAGTGAGGATATATATATACGAAAGGAAGCTAGGAGGGCTCTCCACGGCGGGACGAGAGTTTCTGTTTCAAGGAATCAAATTCTGTCATATCTTATTCATGTTTTGTTCTGCACCAAAAAATTCACCGGTTTTGAATGTGTGATGACGTGGCCGTTTGATGGAAATTCTGACGCCGAAATTTTCCTGGGTGGCGAAGTGGGTGAACTTCGTGGTTTGCGTTGATTTGGGGAAGTCCGGTAGTCTTCGAGAATTATGGTCCGTTCGTTTTGTGGTGAAAGAGTGGCCGTAAGATTATGACCTTTGGTTGTCCATTTTTTACTACATATTTATTTATAGAATATTTAAATTTTAAATCAGATAAAATTTTAAACGTATTTAATTTTTGTAAATAAAACATATTTTTTCTTTATATATATAGGCTTGTCAAAATCGGATCACAGGTCGGATTCGGGTAGAATCCTATAATAGCATAAGCACAAATATTAGAAATCTATATTTAATTAAGATAATTGTACCTTAGCAATCTACACAATCTTCCGACTAACTTAGATAAATTATTATTACAATATTAAGGTTTCGTTTGAGACTATTTTTTTAATGCTTTCAAAAACAACTATTTAGTATAAAAAATTCTTAAATTAAAAAATGTGTACTAAAAAACTGTTTCATAAATCAATAAGAAAGCCGTCCCAAATGAAGATTAAGGCTTCGTTTGGGATGGCTTTTTTATTGCTTTCTAAAACGGAGTTTTAGTACAAAAATAAAAAATTTTGAACTAAAACTCTGTTTTAGAAAGCAGTAAAAAAGCCATCCGAAACGAAGGCTTTTTTACTGTTTCATGAAGCAGCTTTTTAGTACAAAATTTAAAAATTTTGTACTAAAAAGCTGCTTCAAGAAGCATTAAAAAAGTCATTCTAAACGAAGCTTTGTTTTTTTTGTGCTTTTGTAAAAAAGAGTTTTAAAAAATATTAGTTCAGAAAATAGAGTTTTCTAACGGAGAAGCACATATAAAAGCTTTCTCAAAACTGTAGAAAAATGAAAAAAATGGAGTTATTGAGAACGTGATTTGACGAACCAAACAACACAAAAAAAAAAATACTCGGTTTCCGAAAACGGAGAAGGCAAGAAAATGACTGTATTATACTACATTATACATTTATTATCGCAAAACAACACAATAATTTCATTAATTTAATTAAGGTCTATAACAGCTTACAATTACTAATCCACCAAATTTTTTGAGGGGACTAATTACACATACCAATTTAAGCAGCGTAGGCAAAATGATAAGGTCTATACATATATATACTAAAAAAAGAGGGGAAGAGGAAGCATTTCAGGAAAGAAGAAGAGAAAGAAGAAGAAGAGTACTCAGCGTTATCGGCCAAGCGGTGGGTTCTTGAACGACGAAGAAGGCGATTGCTTGGCTATATTCTAGGGCTTAGAAAAGACGGGGAGAAGAAGCATACAAAGAAGAAGGAGATCAGCCATTGTTATCGGGTAAGGGTTTCTTGATCGACAAAGAAGAAGAAGATTCGGTGAGGTCTTGCTGTCCAGCTGAAGGATATGGGAAAGGGTTCTTTGTTGTCGGCATCGGTCGAGCATCAAAAAAGGGGAGAGGTTCTGTGGCTGAGAGGAAGGGGATATGCGTGAGGGAAGATGACCTACCCTGATATTCGTAAGTGGTGAGTTGAGACGGCGGAGGGTGGAAGAAGGTTTTGTGCAAAGATTGCAGCGTGATGGTCGCATGAAGCTGCAATACGGAAGAGATCGAGGGATTTGAGATCGCGACGGAGAGAGGCGACGCGCGGCTAGCGGTTCATGTGCGAGAATCAACAGATTTGATTCGATTCACAGGCATGGGTTTATGTTATAAAGTTCGGTTCTTATAGATTATACATCATTTTTAAAAGAGTAGTTTTTTTTTTAAATGAACCGAAGAGCATCAGTACCCGATTTTCAAATTGGAATTAGTTGAGTTATTTAACTTCCAACTAAGTTAAAGTTTCTTTTTAACATTTTATGCGAGCAAATGTTGACTCATTATGTAGGTTAGGGATGCAAATGAGTCGAGTAGAGCTCGAGTCAAGCATAACTCGAGCTCAACTCACGAGCAAAATCCCAACCTCGAACTTGAGTCGAGCTCAGAAGGCGAGCTCAAGCTCAGCTCGTGCTACTGAAATGAGCTCATCGAGCAGCTCGATTCAACAGTTCAAGCTTGATCTGCATCTGCTTCCGCCCTACGTCCTGCGTCCAAGCTCCGGCTTCGCCTTGTGTCCCACATCCAAGCTCATCTCTCTCCTCCTCTTGCTTATATAAAAAAAAGCTCTGATTTTGCCCCGCGTCCCGCGTCCAAGCTCCGATTTCACTTTCGAGCCCGTGTTCAAGCCCGCCCGAGATTTTGCCTTCCCTCCCTAAGATCCCTTTTCCTAGATATTTTTTTTTTTCAAACAATCTATGAGTTATCCCCTTGCAACACTTTATATGAGCTCAAATGGTCTTAAGGATATTGAATCCTTATGTAAAGAGTTTTTCATTCAACATCGACTGTAATGGCTGCATTCTGATGCGAAGGCATTGGGTATTAGTAGCCCTCGGATTCACTCATTCCAGCTTACCGAAGGCCAAACTCCAAATTGAGACCAAGGCTCATATAAAGAAATAAATTTTGAAAATTGATTTTTTTTTTTCACTCCTTTTATATTCGATTTTTATGTGAAAGTAAAATCAATAAATTTAAGAGAATTGTGTCAATAAAGTCAATAAATATTGATTTCTAATTTTGAGAATATTTGTGTCATCATATGATAAAAAATTATTTATGATAACTCTTAATCTTTAATAGAGATGTCAATAAATAAACTGACCAGTCAGCCTGACCATAAAAATACAAATTCGGATGGATCCATGTAATAAATAGGTTAAATTTGAGTCATACATTTTGGTCTATCAATTAAATGGGTCAAATTCACCCACTAGCCCAACTTTAACTCAAAAACATGAATTTAAATTTTTGAGAGATTTACATACATACCATCTTATACTACTCTATTTACATATTTAACACCTAAAATTTTAATATTACATACATGCCACCCATAGTTGATTTTCATATCAAATCTGAGTGGTAGAAAAAAAATATGTGTGATATATTTAATATTAAAATAATATAAGATATTATGTATATAATATTAAAATTTTAAATATTAAATATTTAAATAAGATAATATAAAGTGATATGTATGTAAATTTTCCTAAATTTTTTACTTAATTATTCTCATTTTTTATCAATAAACTTAAAATTTATCATTAACAAATTAATATTTTTTTTCATTAAAACTTGTTATCGGGTGTGTTTATCTTGTTACCATATCAAATTCGGGTCCACTCTTTATCCCATTTATTAAACTTTATCCCATTTATTAAATTGGTCAGATTTTAGTTCGTCATATTTAGGTCAAACTCGAACCTGACCCGTTCTTTTGACACCACTACTCTTTAAATTTATTCTTTTTTTTTTCTAACTTCATCAAATCCAACCAAATGATAGAATAAAACTACTTCCCCATTATCCTACCTTTCTAACTTCAACCAACCAAATGAATCCTTGGATTTGAACAATAGAGGTGGTCTTAGGGCATCTCCAACCGAAAATGTCATTTTTCACTCCAAAATGCAGGGAAATCAAAAAATGCCCTATTTCATCTCCAATCCAACGCCATTTTGCCGCTAAAATGGTCGTTTTCGTTCGCGCCTTTCTTCCCAAGCTGTTCGGTAGAGAGAAAAAAATGCCGCAGATGAACAGTGCGACGCCAATATTGGCGTCGCACTGTTTATCCGCGATCAAATGGCGTCAAAAATGGAGATCGGTTGGAGCGAAGCAAGAACGGCAAACAAGTGTTTGCCGTTCGGTTGGAGATGCCCTTAGTAGGTGTTGGTTGCAAGTCTTATTGGCACAAAACTTATAATAGAATAATAACCCACGCAGTTCAGAACTTAAACCAACCAAATAGAAAATTATTAGTTGTACATGCAGACTATAGGAGTACAAAACTGCGTGGAGTTTATAGTACACACACAGATGTATTTCTGTTATCCAAATATAGAGTTTTTGAGATACAAAACTTGCATTAGTATTATAATAATTCATAAAAATAATCAAAATAATCAGTACAAAAGATATCCACCAAAATAGATACTAAGAAAACTTTGTAATAAATGGAAGAGAATTTAGAGAGAACAAGAAACTGGAACTGAAGAATGTTAAAATGAAAGATTTTAACTATTGCATGAATACAGATCACTCACTCACCACCAAAACTTGCATGAGCAGAACTGGAAGGCAAGTAAAACTTCATTTAGAAAACCCTTAGCATTCTCGGAGCCAGCAACTAAAGCTAATGAAATGGAGAATCACTCTTTACAAAAGGTTCAATCTATCAAAAGCTGCAGAGAAGGATAAGCAACACCTCACTCCAGTGATGATCTTCAGCTACCTTCATATTACAATATCAGAGCATACAGGGCAAATGATATTTTGATCTTCTGGTTGTGATCATGGCCGATACAAGCTGTATCCATTCAGTCCACCACCCAGGTTAGGATAATCAGAGAGGTTATGGTAAGAGTACCCGTCTCCACCTCCGTCGGTACTGCCGAGATTTATTAGGGAGAGATCGGCGGGACTGTAAGGCCATGTACTCTGAATCAAACCATCCATCTGGCAATTAGCATATGCCATCGAAAGATCCACCTGAGCTTCATGAGCTCGACCAGAAGAGCTACTGTAGATACTCAGGAAGTTATCATCATAATACTGCTTGGTTTGATCAAATCTACCTGAGCTAAGGTCGACGGAAGCTGCGTCACCCGGGAAAGAATATCGGCCGTTAAAGGAATGGTGACGATGATGTAGAGGGTGATAGTAGTACTGGTTGCTTAGGCTCTGTTCCTCATCGAGCAAGTCATTGATAATGTCAAGGTGAGGGAACTCATCAGCCACGCCACCATGAGAGGTTGAAACTGGTTCCCTAAGAAGATTCGAGTTGCACGGTTCGGCGCTTTTGGTTAGGATGGATTGCTGATGGATGTGCAATGACTCTGGTTTTACAGATCCGAAGGTTAATCCAGGCTTGGAAGCTTTTTGCTGCTCTTTCCTTGTCATTGATGGAGTTGGAAACAAAGATGCAGAAATGGACGATATAGTAGATTGGCTTGATGAAGTGGATGATTGGATCAAAGGGGCTGAAGGAGAATGAGCGAACCCAGCTAGGTTCAAACCCGTGACATTTTTTCCCATGATCGCATTGCGATAAGACTGAGGAACATAGCTTGGAGCTGATGGAGATGGATCGGCGGCCTGCCGAGTGGTAGCAGAAGTGGAACGTGAGAGGAGAGGTGCGACTTGCACGGTTGAAATGGCGGTTGTGTTTGGTCTTGGTGCTACTGGAATGAGAGGGGCACTGGAAGGTCTTGAGATTGGAGTGGTTGGTTGAGATGTAATGTTCTTCGCTGCAGGAGTGGGATAAAATTTTGTGGCAGAAGAATGGGATGATTTTGTTGATAGAGCAGCAGATCTCTTGGGGGCATTGAGATTACTTGATGGTAGCTCTTTGGATGAAGCAGGAAGACCAATTGATGAAGTTATAGAGTTAGTGCCAGTTGTGCCATTTTGCAGTGATGGCTTGGCCCGTTGAAGAAGTGGCTGGGTCTTTCTCCCAGGTTCAGGTGAAGCAGAGGATGATTCTAATGTTCGGATATTTGACAGTTTTTCTGCATCACCTTGATCTTTTGATGTGTTCTTAAGTGGGATAGGCGTCAGTTCTTGCTGTCATGGTGCAAAAGAACAAAACAAGTTTCATACAACAAGTTCTAAGACTTTTACTGGTTAAACTAACTGGCATCCAAATTTCAGAAGCTTAACTTCATTAATAAAAAGAACACTAAACAAAATATTGATAACAGTCGACGAGACGGTCCGAGAAATGTACAAGCATCAAAAGGTAATCCAAGATAAACTAAAAAGTTAAATTAGTGAAACAAGGAAAATTAAACATGGTTACAGACCGAGAATTTTTCAAATAATATTGGCCAAAATTTAAAACAGATAAAAATTGAAAAGATCTCAGGTAGGGTAACAATGTAAGTTTAAAAAGAGTAAAACAAATCAAATTGTAGACGTTATTAAGACAACTTGTGACAGAAGAAAGCCTAAAGCATAGCTGTAGTGTAGCTTGACTTTTCTAAAAAAACATAATAAACTCACATTAATGGAATATAAGTTACAACAACATAGGAGGGATGTCAGAGGAAATTAGCACCAATTTTTACCATACTGTAGAGCCTTAATAACATGCCAATAAAAAGGAACCTAGACAATAGGCACAAATCTACAAGCAGCCTCAGCAATTTCATAATGCCCTTACCAGTTTAAAAGTTTAGTTGAAGCATAAAGTGATAGCATTTCCTTCTTTTTGTTATTTTGCGCAACATTTAATATGTGCCTAACATAGAGAAGTTTACTAAGGACACAACTTGTAAATTATTAATAAGTTACAATTATCCTCCTAAAACAAAAGTAGAAATTTAATGTAAGAAATACATGTCACACCTTTTCCACCAAATGACTATAGTGCCGCTGTATCGAACTTTTCCGAGAAACATCATCTCCTTCCAATTCATGGCAAGTGGATGGAGAACTATCAAGGATTTCTCCAGGATGGCTTGCAACAGACTGATGGTTTTGAGAGCATTTGCCACCATAGGGTTTTGCCCTACGCATTTATTCAATAGTTGTTTCAAAAAGTTAAAAACAGAAAGAAAAATTAAAAATAAGAGAAGAGAGAATACCTATCTGGTGAAGTTTGGATGCTGTTGATAATCACAGAGTTTCGTCTGCAAGTTCCATTTGAGACAATAGATGGAACTGAGTCAGTCGAACAATTCGAGGAGCTATCATCCAAGCCAAGGTTAGCCTTTTCTGGCAGAGAACTTGACATTTCACTTGCGCTGGCTTCTATGGAAGGATGAAGTTCCAATGCATCCGTCTCCCAATTCTTAGGATTACTATCCCGATCCTCCAAATCAGGATAAAGAGGCACGGCAACATCACCACCATTATAGGAAATATCAGAAGCATCTTCTGGTGTGTCCATTCTCTCATTCATCACACACAAATGTTCGAGAGACAAATCCCTGGAAGCTATCTCGTCCAGATACTTTTCTTCTAGGGTTTTGTCATTAAATACTAAATCTGACTTAAAATCCCTCTGTTTTTCCTTGTTCTTTCGATTGTTACGCTTCTGCTTGCCCTATATATAGGAACAGAACCAGAATAATAAAATAGAAAAAATTTAAGTCTGTATTATTTCGTGATGTAATAGCAAAAATTTAGAAAAATAAATTGCTCTAAGAGAACAAAATATTAAATGGAAGTATACTACCACAACGAAGCTGATTAAGAGAAAAATGCAAAGGTTAATAAATAAATGATGTGAGAGAAAGTCATGGCACTTGAAAAATATATTACCTCTCAAAAAATAAATTGGTTAGAAGGACCAAGATAATGAATTTGAAAGATAGCATTCCATGATCAGAAAGAGAAGAACGTGTAAAATGGAGGGAAACAAAACATATACAAACAAAGACTACCTAAAAATAAAAGTATAACAGTTATCCCATCAAGATTTCGATGATGTTAGAGAATTCAATATTCCCACAAGTTAATGAGCCATGAGTTTAACGATTACTATTTTGCAAGCATATATAAAACAAATGAATGAATTTTGTACATTTCACACATTTTTTGTAAGTAGCTTTTGGCCAATATGCAAAGTTTAAAAGAAGCATGAATGGCCATAGTTGCCCTCGTTGAACTAAAGTAAAATACCAGTCAGATTTGCCATCCATCTTTTACTTGCTAATACCCACAATTTAGATCAATTGCAAAGAAGCTTACCCCCTCTAATGTACTAATTAATTTAATTTGGGAGGAAATACCCATCATATTTTCTTTGTTAAATTAAGGCACATACTTTTATAAGTATGTTACTGACCCTCTGATTTCACAATACGTCCCTATTAACCATGCCTGTAAAAATGTTCAGAAGCATTGCATAGCATGGGTTGAGGAACATAGAAATATTGAAATTTTTTTCAAGACATGTAGAACTCAGAATTATCAGATACAACATTATATTTTCACTAGTGTTTTACCAGTTTCTTCTTTTTTGTTTTTTGTGTGAGTTTTCAGCTTATTTATAATCGTTTTATGACTTTGTTTTACATTAAAAAAGTATATGTTAACTGTAAGAATAAAGACTTTAACCATATCCTTAAACGAGGTCACAAACATTCCTTTATGCGAGTTTGCTAGATACCAAAGTGTTTCTAGTGACTGTAGTCTTAATCAAAATATAGTCACTCTATTCCATTTGTTGACCACAAAAAGGACAACTAAAAAGGAAAAAAGAATGTCCCTCTTCATGTTTTGACAAATATACATGCATAAGCTATTGTTGTTTACAGATTATACATAAACCTTCGAATTTCAAAATATGTGAGCCGTGTTAGGCCTTATCCCATGCAAGATGAGTGATATGAAACAATCTCATGCGAAAATGATTTGCTTAATGAAGTTTGCACGCTTAGATTTAGAGGCAATAATAAGTAAGATCTTATGCGGAATTGAACGATAAGATAAATATTAAGTGGTACTTAGCTTAGGTTAATTTTCATGCATAGAAGTTAAGTTCAAAAGATAGCCATCTTAATCCAACATTGCATACGTAGATTGTTCCAACAATAAATTCCAATACTAACAATAAGATTAGGCTATGAAAGATCCCTCACACAACTCTTCGACATTTCACTTGCGCTGGTTTCTATGGAAGGATGAAGTTCCAATGCATCCGTCTCCCAATTCCTAGGATTGCTATCCCGATCCTCCAAATCAGGATAAAGAGGCACGGCAACATCACCACCATTATAGGAAATATCAGAAGCATCTTCTGGTGTGTCCATTCTCTCATTCATCACACTCAAATGTTCGAGAGACAACTCCCTGGAAGCGATCTCATCCAGATACTTTTCTTCTTGGGTTTTGTCATTAAATACTAAATCTGACTTGAAATCCCTCTGTTTTTCCTTGTTCTTTCGATTATTACGCTTCTGCTTGCCCTATATATAGGAACAGAACCAGAATAATAAAATAGAAAAAAAACTCAAGTCTGTAATATTTAGCGATGTAATAGCAAAAATTTAGAAAAATAAATTGCTCTAAGAGAACAACATATTAAATGGAAGTGCACTACCACAACGAAGCTGATTAAAAGAAAAATGCAAAGGTTAATAAATAAATGATGTGAGAGGAAGTCATGGCACTTAAAAAATATATTACCTCTCAAAAAATAAATTGGTTAGAAGGACCAAGATAATGAATTTGAAAGATAACATTCCATGCTCAGAAAGAGAAGAACGTGTAAAATGGAGGGAAACAAAACATATACAAACAAAAACTACCTAAAAATAAAAGGATAACAGTTGTCCCATCAAGATTTAGATGATGTTAGAGAATTCAATTGATGTGGTCTATCCTAGTCCAGCAGACTACCACATGCGTTTTCCCTAACGAACCTACAGGCTCCACTACCGCCTATTACCTTTTTCTGTTTTTAGCAGTTTATGCTTAGTATGGTTTTATTTTCTTTTTAGCAAAGTTATTACCAGTATAGATAGGAGAAGGAGAACTGTAGAAAGGATATAATTGAATACAGAATTCCCAAAGTATTGACCATCTACTTCGTTCTTCTTCGTCTTCCCCTTATTCTTCTTCTTCTTCTTCTTCTTTCTAAACGCTAATCCTCTTATTCTTCCTCTTCCTTGCTCGTATCCTCTGTTTTTCTTGTGTCTTCTGCAGGTAATTCCGGTATCACACCATATTGGTATCAGAGCTCGGCTCGGAGCAGTAATGGCGGAAGGAAGTAAGCGTTCTGCGGTAGAGGACGATCAGAGCTTAGACGCCCTGTGGAATGCTCAGACGAGCATAGCGCGACAACTTGAAGTACTCACCAATGAGTTCACTCGGTTTTCAACGGAAATGCGGACGGAGATTCGCTCACTGAAAACTCATCGGGTGTTACCAACGGGAGTTCGAACTGTGACGCCGACACCAGTTCCAGTCCATCGGCAAATAAACCACCGGCGACCTATTACGACAGATCCAATCAGATCTGATTCAGAGCATGAAACTAAACTTCAGCATGTGGGAGCATCTGATTCAGAAGATGATGAATGGCAAAATTTCTACGAAACCCCACGGCGACATCCAATTCCACATCGACAGCAAGGTGAATTTCGCATAAAACTTGATATTCCCTTCTTCGAGGGACGTTTGAATATAGAGGATTATTTGGACTGGGAGCGAGCTGTCGAAGCATTCTTTGATTATATGGAAATAACTCTGGAGAAACAAGTAAAATATGTCGCTTGTCGCCTTAAAGGGGGAGCTGGAGCTTGGTGGATGCAGCTATTGCAATCTAGGCGACGCGAAGGGAAGAGCGGCATCACAAGTTGGTACCGGATGAAACGTTTGCTCCGTGGCCATTTTCTTCCAGTTGATTTTGAGCAAATGTTATACCTACAATACCAACATTGTTCACGAGGAAGAACGGTGAATGAATACACCGAAGAATTTTATAGGTTGAGTGCTCGGAACAACCTAAATGAATCGGAGAATCAACTCATAGCACGATACATTGGCGGACTGAAGGAGGTTATTCAGGACAAATTGGAGCTAAATTCTGTTTGGACATTGTCACAGGCCATAAACTATGCCCTCAAGGTCGAGTTGCAACTCAGTCGACAACCGAGGAGCCGTACTATTAACCGATATACTCCTGAATCCACGGGAGATGTTGCCAAACCAGCTATGGGAAGTAGCAATAAACTTATGACACCACAGGTTGGAGGAGCAGGCATCCTCGGCGCTGAACCGAAAGCCATAGCCACACCTCGACCGAGAGTACCAAACAGAGACAATAACCCTTATGCAAAACCCACAACCTTCAAATGTTATCGCTGTTTTCAGCCCGGTCATAAGTCAAATGATTGTCCGAATCGTCAACAACTACACTTAGTTGATGCAGAGCAAGAAGGTGAACATCACGTCGGAGAGGCGTTGAACGAGCAAGATTTCGAAGAGCTCGAGGCTGATGATGGGGAACAACAACTAATTTGTATACTAGAGAAACTGTTGTTGGCTCAGCGGCAAGCCAACAATACACAACGCCATTCCATCTTCAAAACCCGCTGTACTATTAATGGAAAAGTATGCAATATGCTGATCGACAACGGGTGTACCGAGACATAATTGCTCGGTCAGTCGTACAAAAGCTCCAACTAAAAACAACCAAGAATCCCCAACCTAATAAAATCAGTTGGGTGAAGAAGGGCGTTGAAATTCTTGTGTCTGAAATGTGCCGAGTAACTTTCACCATTGGGAAGAACTACATGTGTGAGGTACTATGTGATGTCCTAGAAATGGACGTGTGCCACATTATCTTGGGGCGTCCCTGACAGTATGACGCAGGGGCTGTATATGACGGACGCTTGAATACTTATTCATTCGAGTGGAAGAACCGTAACATTCGGCTGCTACCGCAGGCACCCAAAGATCTTCCCCAATCCTCTCATGAGAATGCTGCTATGCTTATGCTGTCTGGACCAAGTATTCTTACTTCCTGGAAAGAGGAATCTGATATGCTTGCTTTGATAGTGACTGCCTCCTGCTCTAGAGACAACATGCAACAACTTCCCGTGGAAGTGCAAGCACTGATGCAGCGGTATACCGATCTCTGGCCAGATGAGCTACCGGACTCCTTGCCGCCTCTACGCAATCTGCAGCACCAAATTGAACTACATCCGGGAGCCACCCTTCCCAATTTACCGCACTATAGATTGAGCCCACAGGAACATGAAGTATTACAAGGCATAGTGGATGAGCTGCTACAGAAAAATTTGATACAGCCAAGTTTGAGTCCTTGCGCCGTCCCTGCATTGCTGGTACCAAAGAAGGACAGGAGTTGGCGAATGTGCGTGGATAGCAGGGCCATCAATAAAATTACGGTAAAGTATCGATTTCCAGTGCCCCGCCTGGAGGATATGTTGGACAAACTAGCCGGTGCCACCAATTTTTCTAAGCTTGATCTGAGAAGCGGATACCACCAAATTCGCATCCGGCCTGGAGACGAGTGGAAGACAGCTTTTAAAACTCGTGACGGACTATACGAATGGCGTGTTATGCCATTCGGCTTGTGCAATGCCCCTGCTACCTTCATGAGGCTTATGAATGAAATCTTGAAGCCAGTGCTCGGAAAGTGTTGTGTCGTCTATTTCGACGACATCCTTGTTTATAGCTCCTCACCAGAAGATCACATCACCCATCTCATATCTATTTTTGATATTCTGAGAGCTAATAAATTTTACTTGAATTTTCCAAAATGTGAAATTGCCACAGATTCAGTACATTTCCTTGGGTTTATAGTATCTGGCGCCGGCGTGCATATGGATCCGCAGAAGGTAGCAGCAATAAGGATTGGCCAATTCCCCAAACCATCTCTGATGTTCGTAGTTTCATTGGCTTAGCAAATTTTTATCGACGCTTCGTACGCGGATTCAGTATCTTAATCGCACCCCTCACCGATTGTCTCAAACACAAGGTGCTGCAATGGAAGCCAGACCAGCAAACTAGCTTCGACAATGTCAAGGCGGCATTAACATCCGCCCCCGTTCTGGCAGTTCCTGACTTCAACAAGCCATTCAGTGTGGATACTGACGCGTCAGCAATTGGCATCGGGGCGGTCCTGTCGCAGGAAGATAGACCACTCGAGTTTTTCAGTGAAAAATTGAGCTCCACACGACAAAATTGGTCCGCCTACGAGCAAGAATTGTATGCCGTTGTGCGAGCTTTAAAGCAATGGGAACACTATCTTATACACCAAGATTTTGTGCTGAGTAGTGACAACCATGCACTACAATTCATTAATAGTCAAAAGACTATTAACAGAATGCATGCAAGATGGGTGACATTTTTACAACGTTTTAGTTTCGTCTTGAAGCACAAGTCTGGTAAACAAAATAGAGTTGTTGACGCCCTCAGTAGACGCTCCGCCTTAATTGCCAAGCTCCAGACCGATCTGCAAGGTTTGTGCTGCCTTAAAGAGCTCTATTCATCAGATAGGAACTTCGCAGAGGCTTGGAATACACTCTCCTCAACCACAGCTGCTACTTTTCATGACTTCTCTATAAGGCATGATTACTTATTCAAGGGAAACCTACTGTGTATACCACAGTCATCATGGCGAGAGCACTTAATCAAGGAAATGCATGCAGGTGGACTTGCTGCTCACGCTGGCCGAAACAAGACTTTAGAACAACTGCAAAGCCGTTTCTTTTGGCCCCATCTACGACGTGATGTTATCAAATTCGTGGAGCGATGTCTTGTGTGTCAACTCTATAAAGGTAATGCTCAAAATACCGGCTTGTACACACCGTTACCTATAACCAATTCCATTTGGGAAGACTTGAGCATGGACTTTGTGCTTGGGTTACCGAAGACAAAACGAGGAGCAGATTCCATAATGGTGGTTGTTGACAGATTTTCAAAAATGGCACATTTTCTTGCCTGCAAGAAGACCTTTGATGCCTTAAATGTCGCCATTTTGTTCTTTAAGGAAGTAGTCCGTTTACACGGCTTACCCCGCAGCATCACGTCTGATCGGGATGTAAGGTTCGTTAGCCATTTCTGGCGTGAGCTTTGGAAGCGATTGCACACCGAAATCAAGCTCAGCTCGGCATATCACCCCCAAAAAGACGGACAAACAGAGGTCGTCAATCGCTCTCTAGGCAACATGCTGCGCTGTATTGCTCACGAACACCCCAAGCAGTGGGACGATTATTTGGGACAGGCCGAATTTGCATACAATTCTATGGCCAATCGGTCAACCGGCAGGTGTCCAGTCAGCATTGCATACACTAAAATGCCTAATCATGTCGTAGATATTGATGTTTTACCAAATTGCAGGAGTAAAGCTGCGGAGGAAACTACTGAACAGCTCACTAAAATGCTAACTGATGTCAAAGACAAACTGTCTGCCTCAAATACACAGTACAAACAACAC